ACGCTGCTGCTGATAAAAGACCTTAAACCTATTTTCAACAATGATTTATATATATAAATTAGAAAAAAAATAAACTCATTTGAATGAAAAAAAAATTACAATTACAAAATACATACTTGTTTTGCCTTCTTCCATTGGCGCGTAGACCGGTTGTCACCATGTACTGGGATCCGTCGGCATCCACACATTGCACCTCGTGAGTCACCGCCGTCTTTTCCAACTCCCGATAGGCGGCATAGAGGTCGGTAGGAATGGGAGTCCTGCATCCTCTGGACTTCTTTTGTTCATGTTCAAACAAATCCAGAGTCTTGTTCAATGTGGCCTGTACCAACGCTCTGCAGGGCAGGAACCTAACACCTTGAGGACATTGTTGTAACTCTCTGACATATTCGTTGTCAGAGTGTCCCATCGACGTCCTCCATCTTTGTACAAGGTCCACTTTTCCAGAGCAATTTTGAAAAGGTAATCGTATGCGTCCGGGTTACATTCATGGAGTTCCTGTCGACTCTGCTCAAATTTGCGGCGAGAACACAGTGAACCCAACCTCCAACACAAACCCCGGACATTTTTATTCCGGTACCTTGAAAACACGTTGCTCCGGATGTGTCGAAGGCATATCCGATGAAATGCATGGGGTTCGTGCCAAGTCTCCAGTAATTCAACGGCACTCAATATGCCGTTGTCCCTGTCGGAAAGAAGACATATCGGTCTGTCGGGGACGACATGATGGCGCAGATGTGTTAGGAAAAAGGACCAGCTAGCCGTGCTTTCTTCGTCCACAATCGCATACGCGACTGGCAATAGACGCTTATTCGCGGTCTGTGCTATGGCAACAAGCAGCTTCCCCTTGTACGAACCTGCTCAGTTGGACATATGTTTTTTTTGACATTTTTTTTTTTAATCAGACACTATTGTAAATTAGAAAATAAAATATTAATTTGCAATTAACAAATAGTTTCCCGTTGTACGAACCTCGCAGGTGCGTGCCGTCGATGCTAATAATCGGCGGGCAACGAAGGAAGGTTTGAATGGCGGGGCCGAACGCCCAGAAGACAAATCTGAATTCTCTGTCTCGAGATTGCTTCGCCATTTATCCACCCTGCCATTCCCACTCAACGACTGTACCGGGATTCGCCCTTTGAAGGGCGGCGAAAACCTGCAAATTATAAAAGGTAACCATAAATAAATAAATAAATAAATAAATATAGTTACAAACAACACGTAAATACGTTTATAATTAATTTTTGCTTACTGGGGGTATTGTGCGAAGTTCGATTCCCACGTGCCATGCAGACGATCAATGGCTTTTTTTCTCCCGTGCCACGCCTTCTTGTAACTGACATCGACTCCCCATGCACTTTTTACGTCGGCCTGGACCATTTCCACACTGTAGGTCACCTGCTTCTGAATCTTAGCCAACAGAAGATTTGAGATCATGGTGGCGGTCACATTCTTGTGGTCATTTCTCTCGAACACCTGCATGCAAGTGTGGCTATCGGTCCATTCGGTTACCTCCCACATGCCGTGATCCCGTTTGTTAAGACTCACCCGGGCCTTCCATATACATGGTACAACTTCATCTGATCTGCACACAACTTTGAACGACTTCTTGTTGGAATCTTTTGTCCGGACCGCCCTAAGCTTCTCAACATTCCAGGCATTAATACCAATCCGGGCTTCTTCCTTGGTACGAAAAACTATACCCAAACGGATAGTCTCGACATGCCCATTCCAGGTTGGCAAGGCATACTCGTCCCTGTCTACACACGAAGAGTCTCACTCACCCATCTCGCGATAATCGTAGAGGCCTTCATTTGGAAAGGGGTGTTCTTCAATGAATTCTTGTTCGCTCTCCTCATTAATTGATCTGTCCGATTCGGTTTCCGAGGTCTCATCCGTGAAATCGTCTTCACCGGGAATGAAATCTTCATCTCCAACAATTTCTTCCTCAATGTCCGGTCCTCTCATGGTAAAGCTCGTTCCTTCGCCGAAATTACTCGTCCCTTTGTCGAAATTACTCGTCCCTTCACCAAAATTACCGGCATGCGTAGTCCACGTATCCTCACCACCAAACATTCCCTCGTAATCATATGATGGCGTAGGATCCGCAACCTGTGTAACCTGTGTGTTTGCTTCCAACACTATATGCAAAAACACATAGGACATAGGAGCATAGTAGTAAATCCACGAAAGAGAATTATCATTATGCAGTCTTCCGGTAATAAACGAACCATCCTATTGTCTCGCCATCAAAGTAATATCCGAAATTGTCCAACTATCACGAAACCCACCATTTTCGTAAATCATATCTACCAATTGTTCATATGATATTATTCCATTAATAACAAATGAACAATCCGGACGAGACATATAATTCGAAAAATTCCATAACTCACTCTGGGGAATTTTCCAGTACACATTAACAAAGTATGGACCGTTAGACGACATTTATAACCTGTTACGCAAAAAAAAATTATATTTTACAAATTACAACAAAAAAAAAAAAAATCAAACACCACGAGAAAATTTCAATTATTATTTTACCAATCTACATTTAAAAATTCAATTATTTTACCAATCTACATTTAAAAATTTAATTATTTTACCAATCTACATTTAAAATGGCTAATCAAACACCCGAGAAAATTTCAATTATTATTTTACCAATCTACATTTAAAACTCATTTCCAACAACAACATATAATTAATTATATTTTTACTCGAACAAAAAAAAATTGTCAATTAGTTTATAAAAAACACCACAAAAACCCTAATCACCAATCTACATTTAAAATGACTAATCAAACACCCGAGAAAAATTTCAATTATTATTTTACCAATCTACATTTAAAACACATATCCAACAACATCATATAATTAATCATATTTTTAATCCAACAAAAAAAAAATAAAATTGTCAATTAATTTAGTACATTGCCACAACAAAAACCCTAATCACCATAATCCAACAATAACATCAAATTCATAAACAATTTGGATAAATATTCAATTAACCAAATTCATAAACATATATTAAACCAACATTCAAGATTTTCTAAACAATACTCAATTAACCAAATATATCTCTTAAACATTCATAAACAACCAAAAATTAATATTACATTATATTAAAATAACAACTAACCTCTTCTTCGACGATTGGTTGAAAATTTGTTTTTTTCCCGGGAAAAGCTTCAATTCGCCAAAAAATCGAGCAAAAAACGAGAGGAGAAATGAAATAAGAAAATTTGTTTTTTTTTAATTGCAGCTTCAATTCGCAATAAAATCGAGCAAAAAACGAGAGGAGAAAATGAAATGGGAGAGGAAAGTGGGTTCGAATGATATTTATCAACAGAAAAACGGATTTTAAAAATCCGTTTTACTCGTTTTTAAATGAAAAACGGATTTTAAAAATCCGTTTTAGACAGTGGATGTATTATTATTATTTAATTCGACCGTTATCTTATAAAAAAAATCAAAATTAAAAACGGATTGTGAGAATCCGTTTTTCAATTAAAAATTTAATTAGAAAAACGGATTCTGAAAATCCGGCTGTTTTATACATTTCCACAACTTTTTTTTTTATTTTTTTCCACATATTTTTTTTTTAAATAAATAATGCACCCTATTAAGATGTGTTGGTAATAATAAATCGTATAAAGTAAATAAATAGAGAAATATTAACTAATATAAAAATAATTTTAAATATTAATAATATTTTTATATATAACATTATAATATATGATTTATATATTTAATTAATTCATTGTAAAATAACTTTTAATTTAGATCTTTTTAGAAGTAAAATATATTGAACTTCAACATATTCAAAGATTATCAATAAATAATACTCACAAATATATTTTTCTCCTTGTCTTTTGTTACTCACACCTTATTACAACATATTATTTTAATTTCTAAATAAGTGATGATAAAGTTAAAAAAAATAAAAAATTTGTGGCAAATATTATAAACTGACACTTAATTAAAAGAATGTAGTGTATATTAATATAAAGTTATAAAATTTATTAATTTTAAAGTACATTAAAACTATTACAATACTTTTTTATACTAATGTGTATCATAAATATGTTGAATTTTATTTCTAATATAATAATTCATATATGACAATTCGACATCGATTGATTTATCATTATAATATATAATAATATACATTATAAAATCTTGAATTTTTAATAAAATAATAATTTACATCATACTTCGACACAGACATCTTGTTGGTTCATTATTATAATTTATAACAATGTACATTATAATTCATATGTTGTTGTTGTTGTTTCTTTTTTTTTTTTTCTTTCTAAGTTATTAATTTTTCTTAGACATATTATTCGTTGGTTTTTGTCAATAATTTGTAACAATATATGTTATGTAGGGTTTCGATTAAACTCAAAATATCACTAACAACTAATCATACCACTTTTTTCAAAAGTGACGATGCCAAACTAAAAAATCCAAATAAAATCAAGACATCTTATGTAGGGTTTCGGTTATGGTGGTCGGTAAGGGGTGGAGCCTATCAGGCGGTATTTCTCGTCGGATTTCTCTCCATTGAAGTAGGATTCAGAAGAACATAAAGGACATCATAAATTTGCAAACTAAAAGTTGTTTAAGATCCCAGATAGGAAAGAAAAAGAAAAGACTCTTCTGAGTTAACATTATCTGCAAATAGCTATTTTGTACACCAAGAACCAAGAATCTTTCATTATTCAGTAGTCAGCAGCATATTATACAGGCATAGAAAGGAAACTAGTTGATAACTATCAAGCACTATCACTATCGAGCGAGTTTCCAGTTCAGGAAAATAAGATGAGATTATTAAATAATAATACAAGACAAGTTCTCCACACCAAGCATGGGCTGCACTAAAATAGGAAATGAATAAGATTATAAGAGACGACACTTTCCTAATGTGTTGTGCTGCTAGCCACAAAACCACGTTCACTAGATCTCACTTACGTCAACATGTCGATGGATCGCTCTCAAACATAAGGGAAGACCGTCAGAGTGAAACTATCGTCACGGATGTCGAGGTTCTCCAGCTTGTGCGTCTTAAGATCGTAAAGCCATAGGTAACCCTGCGAGTCCTGAAGAAACACTTTATCATTCTTGTAGAGGCCAATGACCCTCATAAAAACAACAGGAGTAGGAGTAGGTGTAGGAGTAGGAGTAGGAGTAGGAGGGACGTCGTAAGTGGATAAAAGGGACCAGCAGCGGTGCTTCCATACCCAAATCTCAAAAGTAAAAAAAAGGGCACTGGTCTTCCTCTTCCTCTGCTGTCGTCTTGGATAACAAACACTCATAATTTTCTTCTCCTGTCCGTGATAATCATAAACAATAGCAGCAAGATTCCCATCAACCTCAGCAAGAGAAACACAGTGAATCGTGATCGGAATTTCGCTACCGGGCATAGGGATGAGAGCAGGGGGAAACTCCTCCTTAGCAAAGTTGAACGAAATAATAGCAACATCATTTGTGGTGGAATGCTTTGCCATCCAATAATAAAAGCCATTGATGAAAAGCGACGGGTACTGATAGACTACCCACACAAGATCATGGGGATAAGGGATTTGCTTCCAAGTTTCAAGCGAAAACACCTCTGCAGAAGCTTCGCTATCGGAAAGAAAATACTCCAAAATGCGACATCTCACCACCTTATAGTCCCCAGGGGCAGAAGGGTCAAACCCGATACCAAAACCCCACAAGGTAGTGGAGGTTGGGCAAGGCACGCGTGGCTCCGGCTCAAAAGAAGGAAGGGTTATAAACACGTCTGTCCTAGGGTCCCACAGAAGCAGAATATCCAAACTTACGGGATTTACGGTACGTGCCCACAGCATCCATGTGTTGCAACTCGCTTCGACGTGATATTTGGCATTCTTACAATTGAGATCGTAGTTTTCAGCTTTGAGTCGAGACAAATCTGGAAGAAGACCATTATCATCATCACCTTGTAGCAGCACTTTGAACGAGTTGTTTTCCATTGAGATCACAAAGAAAATGCGGGTCCAGTCGACTACACACTGCACCATAAGCATCAGACTGTCGTTAGGTTTCAAACTGCGAGTAAGTGCCGGAATAGTAGCAGGAACACCATCGACGACACTAGTGGTTGTGTCGCCACACCAGAGAATTCTTGAGGAGGATTTGAAGCTGGATTCGGCGTTGGCAACATAAGGGAAGACCTCCATCATACCCGGAGACTCGTCACGGATACCGAGAGGCACCAATTTCTTCAATTCCAAGTCGTAAGCCAGTAGGTCACCATAGGAGCCAGAGAGTAAGAGGTTCTTCTTGTAGAGGCCCAAAACTCTATCAACATAAGCCCGGATATTCCGTCTGAACACCAGAGACCACGTGGCGGCTGCTTCTTCCCACACCCAAATCTCAAAACCAAAAGTCTCCATTTCACCAGCAGCAGCAGGATCAATGTTGTTCCTCAGCCATGCACCTTCCTCGAAAACAACAGCAGCAAGCGACGCCTCATACTCAACAGGATAAACAGTGCCGTATCGGAGCTGGAGCTTATCGCTCTTGGGCTTGGGTATCAGAGGCCCAAACTTCTCCTCAGCAAAGTCGAACGAAACAAAACCCACATCAGTTGCCCAATAATAAAAGCCATTGATGTAAAGAGAAGGTTGTACACAGGGTTGAATTTCAAAGGGGTCGTGACGACATTCAATTTCCTTCCACGAATCACTTGCGGCGGACAACGACAACAGCTCAACGTAGAGCTTCCCAATCTCATTGTCACTTCTTAAATTATCCATCACACGACATCTCAACACCTTATAGGTGTCCCCTGCAGGATCGTACCCGAGCCCATAAGCCCAAGGCCCCGACAAACGTTCGGAACCAAAAGCAAAAAAGGGAAGAGATGCATCCTCGTCGGTTGTGGGGTTCCACAGAGAGTCAAATGGAATATCAGGAATATTTGAACTATACAGCATCCATGAGTTGCAAGTAGCATAAACAACAAAACGGGGGGGGCGTCATATACGGGGATCAAAGTTATCTTCTTTGAGTAGAGACAAGCTTGAAAGATTACCATCATCAAGCACTTTGAAGGAGTTGTTTTGGGTTGAGATTACTGAACAATCCAGGGTTGCGCCGTGTAAATACCGCACCAAAAGCATCAAATCGTCGTTGTTGCTATGTGGCTGACCTTTATCGGGAATTAGATGTGTGGTGGTGTTTGAGACAATTCCGCTTTCTGCCATTGCAAACAATCCTCAGCTACTTTGGACTCCTACATTAGATCAATCAATCAATCAATCCCTGTTTTGCACAAATTTAGCCACAGGTCGTTGCTATCAAGACAAGACATTCAAATAGCCAACAATACCTGAATTAGAGAGAGCTGAGGGACGTCAGGACTGAAGTGGGGGTTTTGGACTTCTTCCCGAGGATGAGTTGTACCTTATATCGAATTTCTGGGGTAGGGTTTCGAAGTTCATATATCTTCGAAGCATTGATGATACCAGTGGAGTGCGGTGCAAAAAATATGTTATTATTTAATTATTAATAAAGTACCAATGGATGTGGAGACACCTAAATACATTCACGTACCAATAGCAGCTTCTCCAGATTATATTCAGAATTCACATCTGCAGAAGAATATTTCCTCTTAGAAAAGACAAAGGAACACTACAAACGACTTGCACAGAACTAAGGAGAGAATGCACATGTCTAAGGCATTGGTGATTGGCAAGCGAATGGGAAAACTTGATCAGAATGCGACATTAGTTGAGGAGTCCGAACAACCGACAAGAAAATCTTAGAAATTGCAGTATGACGAGTTGGTACAGGTAGAGGTAGCTAGCCTTGAGTGGCCCCAACCTAATCAATGAAGACGATATTGTGGAACTGTAGAGGTCTGGTGTAGCGCCCCGTTCGATTTATAGAAGTTCTTGGGATATGCTATTTATCGAAAATTATTTATAAGGTTATATTTATTTTATTTTGTTGGTCACTATGTCGACTTAAATAAAAGGTTGGAGTACTCGATCGTTTTATTGGAAAACGTTCGTCGTACGACGATTTCAGCTTAGTTATGTTAACCGAATATAATCCATTTGAATAATGGATTTTTCGGATATATTGGCATTATTATTTATTTTACTGAAAGTGAATTAATTCCTTGATAATGTATTTATTAGTGTGTGCTAATAAATATGTGTTATGTCGGTTTCGTAAATTTAAAGATTTACGGGTCGTCATATTTTATTTTTCCGAGCGTTATGTATCTTCGGATTTTATGAAATTGAGTCGATAAACCGGTAGTCGAAACCGGCCGACTCGGAAACCTGTTGTTTACAAATTATTTGGAATTATTATTATTATTATTATTATTATTATTATAAATATTAATTGAATGTCTAAAATGTCATTAATTGTCTAAGTGCATATTACTAGTTTAAAATAATGTATGTTTTAAATAAATGTTATATCCCGTTTTATTTTATTTAATTAATTGTGCGATTAAACCGAGCCCGAGAGTCGAATTATTTTGGCGAAACCCACGTGCAAACCGGCCCAACCGAACTGGCCCGCGAGCCAAACCCGCGACCCGAACCCGCCATCTTGCCCAAACCCGGTTCACAAATCCGATGTGTGTGTGTACGTGTGGGATTTATTCTTGCTTGACAAGAATAGTCAAACCTAATTTAAGTGCATATATATATACAAATTTTATATTTTTCGCCCTCTCGCAAGAAAATTCGATCCCGCAGACAATCCCTCAATCTGCTCTCTTCCTCGTTATTCCGTCATCCTCCTCTCATCTCTCTCGCCAAATCAGTCTGTCACCCATCACCCTCTTCTCTCTCGTTTTCTGATCCCGTCGCACATCAACCACCATCATCATCGTCGCCACCGCGTCGCCGCCAGCAGATCCCACGCACAGCGCCGCCTCCCTCGCCGTGAACAGAAGGCGCCGTTATCATCATCGCCTCATCTCGCCACCATCATCGTCGTCGCACAAGCTCTCCGGCGACCTCTGTTTCGCGAACTTCCGGCGATCTGCACTTCCCCGCGCCGCGAACAGAAGCTCTGCCGCACCGTGACACCACCGCAGAAGCTCTGCCGCACCGCGACACAACCAGCGAGCCCCGTCATCGCCGCCAGCTTCTCCCGGCAACCTCTGTTCGTGAATTCCGGCGAGTCTGCAAATGCGCGCCCCGTCATCGTCCACCGACGAGCCTCCGCGACCCCAGCAACCTCCGCAGCGTTTCAGGCGAGTGTCCCCTCCGCGTCGGAGCATCCAGCAGCGACCACAACGCCCCTCGCCGCGATTTGCAGCAACTCCGGTGACCTTCCCGAACAAGCGGCGACCTCTGGCCGTGACCTAGCAGCAACAACGAACCCTTCTCCGCGAGACGAAGCTTGTCGTCGAGCTTGCCGCCGCTAGCCACCGTGTGTTGGCCGTCGACTTCGTTTTGTTCCGTTTTTCCGAGCCTTTCCCGAGAATGGTACCTAGTCGACTCCGTCTAGTTAAATCGTGAATATTTGATTACGTTATGTATTTTATTGTTGCGATGTGCTCTTTGCGATTTAATATACGTGATATGATATTTCGTGAAGTCGTGATTTTATGTGTGTTCGTATTATTCGAGATCCCTTCGATTTGAGGAATCGAACGAGACCTCGAGATGCGTGTAAGTCGGTGGATATTGGGACAATGTAGAGTCCTTGGCTTTGTGAGAAGGCCTCGGACGAGAAAATTTCATGTTATGAATCATGTGTTAAATTGTCGAGCATGTATATCGTTGTTTTAGTGTTTGAATTATTAAATATCGCACACTGCTCGTTTTTCCTTGCAATTTTGAGGAATATGTCTTCTGTTCATTGCCAGGCTTGTGTAAAAATTTCATAATTCTTGAAGGTCTGTAGCTATTTTTAATAAATAAAGTGATTTCTGGTCAGAATCATGTTAAATGCTTAATAAATTGGTTCGTGCTCCAAATGTGCTGAAATTTGAGTATGTTATGCCTCTGTTATGTTTATAGGCTGTGTTAAATTTTTAGAATTTTTGGACTAAGTTTGATATGGTTAATAAGTTATTTACTGATTCTACTGAAAGTTGTTTGAATTACTATAAATCGGTTAGTTGTTGAAAAATTCTGAAAATTGGCTGAGATGCTTTTTAATGTGTATATTCATGCTATTAAAAGAAGAGAATTTTTGGAGTTCAATTTGATTCGGTTTTGATTTAAATTCGATAACTGCTGAAACTTGTGTGAATTTTTAAAATTAGCATAGTTAATGTCCAGGGCTGACATTTTTACATAACGTCTCTCTCATGTTGTAGCTTGTGATGTTAAATATCAGGTCCTGATTCATTCATTAGGTTTAGATATAAATTCATGTTCGGTTTTGCTGTTATCTTGTATGAATTTTATTTAATTATGTAATTTGAATTTGAAGCTAAAAATTGGTGGTTTTACTAATTACTGGGAGAGTAATTTTGATTAAATTTCAGGGCTTAAGTCATAGAGTAACCTGACCAACTAATTTTATGTGATTATTGGCTACTATTTTCGAGATATGATTTTGAAATTAAAATCGGTAATTGACTTGCTTTTCGTTTTGTTGTGTGTTTGACTTGGTCAATCCTTAGTGGGATTTATGTGAACTCCCATATGTGGTTTGGTTGAGTATAGTGCCGAGTCTAAGTGTTCCAACGTCGACAGGACTTCACGAACAACTTAGTCGAATCAAGTTCGACTTGGTCTGATTAAGACACGCCAAAATGGCCTAGAACCGAAACATGAAATTATCTCAAACACCTAACCTCCACTGCCATAAGGCCTAGAGATGACAAACCAAACCAAAACAAAATACGAAAACTGAAGACAAATACAAGCAAAGAAAACAGAAGAAAACTGAAAGGGACCAAAAAGAAACATAGAACATACTAACAAACAGAACCAATCAGAGAATCAATACTGAGAGAACTCGAGCCATTCCTTATGAGCAATTTTGACCAATGTGTGAGCAAGGATAGATGTTTTCTGAAAGATCCAAAGGTTGCGACATTTCCATAACCACTGTTGTAGCAAATTATTTTTATTTTACCGAGCACCGAATCGAATGATTCGTTTCCTGGGTCGATCTCTCGAGGAAGACGGTTCGGAATTTAGAAGTGGTATCGATAACACATAAAAAGAAAATAAAATCCTAAACACTCTAATCAAGATAGAATTGGATTTTTTATTATCAACTAAGAAAATAACAAAAGACAATAATCAAAATATAAACGATAAAAGATACACGAGCTAGGGTATCGAGAATAATGGCGTTTAACGGCAATCAATAACTTGGTTAAAAGGCTCGACTAATTAACTCATTTAGCGGTTTAACCTCAATACATCTCCGAACATGCTGATAAACATGAATGAGCAAATTAACGAAACAATTAACACATAGACAATACGTCTCTGAACATGTCTACTCTAAACGAGCCAAATTCCACCAATTCCTCCCCTCTCGATTTTGAAATCGATTATCTCTACGACTCCTCCCCTATCGGTTCTAAAAGTCACAATTTGTAGAATTAACAAACTCTAACTCAACAAATCAATATTCTCTCACAAATCAAAGTGTCACTCTTTGATAATATCAACAAATTAACCTAAGTGTCACTCTTAGGTTATAACCATTTATCAAGTATGATTTTATCAATTCCAAATTAAAACAACTCGTCAAGATGAGCTATCGTCATGCACGTAAACGAGAACAACCGGAATGATTATCCCTTAACCCTAGCTAGAGGATTAGCTATTCATAATTAAGTTAACACAAGCATTCACATTCAATAAAGCCATGATCATCATACACTTAATGAAAATAGAACTTACTAGTAATGTGAATTCCAATGTCAAGAACAAAGCACAAGCCAAATCTAAGATGCAACAAGTCTCCAAAGTATTCCTTCTTACAACATAAACAAAAGAAAACTAAAAAGGAAAGAAGAAGATAAAAGATGGTGAAGATGGGGGAAACCCCCCCTTGGTTCAAGGATGATCCCCATGCATGGTGGTGAAAGATGCTTAAGTAGTGATGAAGAGAGTGAGTGGGAAGTCTCCTTGGTCACCACAACTGAATTCTAGCTGAAAATCTGGTCCAAAGGTTGCCACTTTCGAGCATCCTCAAGACAAGCCCGGATTTGAGGAAAAAGAAAAACATGTTGTCTGCCAACAGTTGCTAGCGGCACTAGGGG